TATTACAATAATTTTATGTTAATCTTTTAAAAATCTAATTAAATATCAAAAAAAAACTTTTGTTTGTAGTGCTGCTCTAGCGTTTTCTTTCTTCATGACAACAACTGGAACGATATATGATATATTTGTGTATCAAAAATATATAAACAAAAATATGACAAGTAATAATACAACTAATAATGGTATGTATCATATGTAAAATCTTTAAAATAATTTGTAAAATGAAAAATATTTTTCGTTTTAACAAACTTATCGTCTTCTTATTATACACACTTCATTTTCAAAAACATTTCTATTATCCGCACTGAATTTATTAAAATTATTAATTATGTATGTAGAATAATTAATTAATAATTAATTAATTATGTATGTATGATAAATTTCAATTTTCTTCATCATTAATATAGACATTTTCTTATTTAATTGAGGCATTTTTGTTTTTCAGTTAATGTATTATTAAGAATCGAAAAGTATAATTTAGACGTAAAAAACATGACCAAGAAAATAGAAATGGAAACAGATTTATCTCCATATCGAGATAGTAAAATTGAAAAAATATTAATATGCTTCTCCGTTTATAGAAATACGAGAGAAATATTTAATACAAAACTAAATGCCGGTGAAATACCTGTCATTCACGGATTAAAATTTTTAAGTATGTTATGTCAAATTTTCGTTCATATTTTTTATTTCTCAGCAGAATTTGTCAGTAAGTACTTTACAATATTAAAACGGTAAACATTTTAAGATCTGCATAATGAAATTTATTTCGTGAATACAGATAATAAAGGATGGTTTCTGAGATATAATGGCAATTTTTGGATTAGTTTATTTGATACTTTAATGTTATCAGTCGATTATTTATTTTCTTTCGAGCGGTTGTTTAGTGACTTATTTGTATCTGAGAGATAAAATGAATAAAGAATTGATTAAGCCAATTGGTTACAGACAAAAATTAATGACTTTTTCTGTATATATAATAAAAAGATTTATACGGTATGTATTTCCTCACTTAGATAATAAAATAGTATCAATAAAATGTTTGTTTTTAAATTTCTTTTTTTATTTTTTATTTAATTGATAAATAACGATTAAATTATGATAACATT